AAAAAAAAAAAAAAAAAGAAGAAGAAGAAGAAGAAGACGGCGACAAATATATAAATTGGGCAATGAAATGAACTTTTTTTATATTTAAGAAAAACTTTAAGAATAAGAAAGATCTGATTGCCATCAGGTTTGCTTGTTTTATAGATAAATGAACACTTAAGGGTTTTAAGTGTACATAATTTAAACACTCACAATTTATATTTATTAGGTATACATTATGTAACATGGGGCTGTGAAAAGTTCATTAAGATTCTCTATTAAGATTGATTTGAGTGAAACCCTCAAACCACTGCACAGGTGAGCAAAACATGCTTAGAATGGGGGATGTACTGGACAAAGCTCAACTTTGTGGCAGGAGGACAAGGTGTTAAGACCAGCAAAGGGACAATGGACAAACCCACACAGGAAAGAAAGTGGGCGGAGAGGGCTCAGGGACATTATGCAGCACCATCATCCTTGGAAATAATTTACAGATGGTGCCAAGAATAGATGAGTGTTACTTGCCAGATTTTCTGAATAGTTTCTTCTAGCATTAAAAGAGAACTCTAGAGATAAGACAAAGGATATGGGATGGGAACTGAGGCAAGTGACAGATGGCTGACAATGGGTAAACCTTTCTGGGCCTCTGTGTGCTAATAATGAGTTAAGAAAGAAGGAGGGGGTCAGGCCAGATGTTTAAAATCCGTACCAGTTCTAAAGTTTAACAATTCATTAAGAGAGAATCTTGTAACTGTAAGCTACTTTCAGATATAAGTAAACGTCATGTAGGATATCAATAAATTTGTAAACCTTTTCCTATCCTTAGTTTTCTGCCCTTGGGAGAATATGAATTGGATTAAATGTCCTTTTGACAGGTAAAGGGACATGACATCTTCAACTTACTCTCAAATGATCAAAAAAGGGCAAAACAAATTTGGGAGTCTGGGTTTCAGGCATACAACAATCTTTGTACTATTCCAGCAACTTTTTCAAACTCCAAAATAAGAAGTTACTAGAAAGTTTCCTTTCCTGCCATATTTATCCACATACTATCAGTGGCATGAGGACACATGAGATTTATATGGTTAAAATACCCCTACCGTCCAAGTGACTGATGTAGACACCAACCTCCCTGTCCTCCAGCGGTTTAGGTCCAGCACAGCCGTGTAGAGCACATCTACCAGACCCAGGGTCTTCTCAGGATCAAGGCTTCTCTGCAGTAGAGACATGGTAGCAGGATCTTCTTTCAGGCACCTAGGCACAAACTAGGCTGCATCAGTCACGGCTATACTTCTTTGCAAAGGTGTTTCAAACACGCCTCATGGAAAGTCCACACTTTAGGTACCCCCCCTAAAAATTAAATAACTTTAAGAATATTTAGAAAATGACAAGGCTAACACTGGTCACTTGCTGCTCCATAAAAGGACAAGAAAGAGGGGAAAGTCAAGAAAGCAATAGGGTCTGGAATATCCATGGATTTCTAACTATCTTAAGGAAGAGAAGGACTCGGAGAAGGAGCTTTCTTCCAAGGCCTGAATGCTTTCTCACTGTCTAACATTCACTGTAGCTTGACTTCCTGGAATCTCTGCTGAGATTTTGTAGTCTGATATAGTATCTATTCCTTTGTTAACCCTTTTCCATAGTTCTCTTGCCCCTCCCTTCCTTTACAACACTTTACATCTATACCAAAGAAAATGAGAGTGAATCAAGAGAGGAAAAAAATATTACTGTCTGCTCCCAGACTCAACACAAATTTGCAACAAGCAACAAAAATTAACTTTTTTGCCTTTGTGTAAATTAATTTTTCCACTTTCCAAGATACCTATTTCACTCCTCCTTTACTCTCCTCAAAGCTCTGACATCCCCATCACCTCTCCCATGCTATCCTCTTCAATTCTCACTTATCATGCATGCAAGTAGGCAAGATCTACTTCATCTCCCCACCACCACCACTAATTTCACCAATTCACTTGCCACATATGTCCACACAACCTGTCTTCCCCTCCTATCACAATGGAAGACTCACCCTGCTCTTGCTACAGGCTAACCCTCCACTTGAGCACTCGATGCCATGCACCCTCTTGCCCTCCCAAGGACCTCAACTTATGCAGTCACTGCCCTGTTTTCTTTCCTGGGATACTCCCTTTGGCAAACAAATTAGCCTCACCAACCACCACCTTGGTCCTTTATTTCCCTCCAGACACTGTCCTATTTCTCTTCTTGCTATGTCAGCAAAACACATCATCTCTGCCTCTTGAGGTTCCTTCTTGGTCTCCTCTACCTCTATATGTTAGAGTGCTCCAGGCCCTGTCCTCTATTAGAGTACTGCATCTGGTCCTGTGGTTTTATAGACCTCCCTTACACTGAAGATACTCAGATTTCATTCACCATCCCAGACTTTCCTCCTGAGGTACAGTGTGTATACTTGACATCTCTCTTTGCACACCTAATAGGCATCTCAAAGATAATCTGGTCAACACAACTCATTTTTTTTTCCTCGTAATTTGCTTGTCTTTACTGATGGCAAAATTCTACATCATCAACAAAAATACCATTTAATTGCAGGTTCTTATAAATGGAGGCATTACGTCAGACCAGCCACAAAATTTTTAGCATAGCTTATATTTTAGAAAAAGAAATGAGTATCAGGTTAGCATTCTTTGAATGTTAGAATCAACTACGTCATGATCAACTACATTACTTTTGCGGATGGGCCTGATCTCTGTTTTCTTCTGAAATTAGTACATAGAAGGTGAATCTAAGAAAATAGGAGTGGTTGGCTGGATAAAACACACCAGCAAAGGCACTGTGACAGATCAAGTGCAAGGCCCTGAAGAGAAATTCCACGTAAGTAGTAATACTAACATGGCATTCTGGTGGTGCAGTGGTTAAGGCATTTTGTGTTAACCAAAAGCTTGGCAGTTTGAACCCACCAGGCACTCCTCAGAAAAAAAGATGAAGCATCTGCTTCCATAAAGACTCACTGTCCTGGAGACCCAATGGGGGTCACTATGAGTTGGAATTGACCTGATGGCAGTGAGTTAGGTTTTTTTTTTTTTTCCTTAAAATAAGACTAACAATACACACATACAATTTATGAATTGTTTTAACGTTTGTTGAAAAATAAGAATTCCACTGATAGACCATATTCAGTTTGTAAATATAACTAAACCAATATGATTTTTAGGCAGGCCAGCACGGAAGTTCTCAGAGTTGAAAGTGGAATTTCTATCTTCGAAATGAATTCCCCACTTGCATAGGCCCTCAAAAAGAACAGATTGCTTCACTCTGTAATCTGTAAAAGTCATGGTGGTCAACACAACTCTTAATTTCTCTCCTCCCTGGCAAAAACCACTCTGATTCTTATAGCCTTTCCCAGTTAGTAAACACCACCACAAAGTCTATTTCATTCAAAGCCCACCTCAAAACCAACAAAATCACCCTTGTTTTCTAGTTCCCTCATAACTACAGATCCATGAGCAAATCCTGACATCTCTTTTTCCAAAATATATTCTGAATCCAAGCACTTCTCACCACCTCTTATTACCACCCTGGTCCAGGCAACTACCACTTCCTTTGTCTCAAGGACCAATTTCCTATCTGATCTCTTTTTCTCCACTCCTGCCTATTCAAAGCCCATCCTCTGCATAGCAGCCAAAGCGAGTTTTCTATAGTGCACATCAGATGACATCACTCTCCTGCTTAAAACCTTCCAATGATGTCCCATCATGCTTGAGATAAAACCTAAATCCCTTACCACAGCCTTCAGCATCCTTGGAGACCTGACTTCTCCTGCCTCTCTGGCCACACCTCCCTTCACTGTCACTTCCACTCATCTCTCTTTCCCTGAATATGCTGAGTTTGCTCCCATCTCAGGACCTCTGTTCTTGCCACTCCCTTTGCCTGGACTGCTCTTCCCCACGATCTTGGAAGGGCCAGCTGTTTCTCACTGTTCAGGTCTTTCCTCAAAGAGAAAGTCTTTTGTGAGAGGAAGAACTGTCTGAACTTCCAGTTCTGGGGCTCTCTGGGAGATAAATGGTGAAATCAACATGTACAAAAGCTACCCTAAGAAGCAGCAGTACTCTCCAACATGACTTTGTCTTGAGAAGAAGTAAACCTGTAAGGATGGAAGCTGGCAGGCCTCAGATGCACAGAAAAATGCAAGTGATGAGGCAAATTCAGAGAGTACCCCATCAGACCCTGACTCCCAGAAGAGGATCTTGGCCACAGAACTTGACATTGCTTTAGTCCCAGCAGCCACACTACCTCACACAGTGTACTGCCTGTCTCAGCCTGCAATCACTAATTATCAAGTCACACATCCTCCACTTGCTCCAAGTTTATGCTCCACACAGACTTCTGGTTGTGATTTGGCTTGCTACTTAACACCTTCCCACTGGTCATGCAGAAAGGAGTACTACAAGTCCTCGTGATAATTTCCCTTTCTAAAAATCAGTAAATTGGCTTTTTTATTAGTTAGTCTTGGGGGCTGATCAACAAATGCCCTTCAGAGACTAAACCCATTCTGTTAACAAATTAATCAAGTCTTGCTTAAAACTCTACCTGCTTTTAGATTAAAACCAAGTTCCTCAAAGGCTCTGTGTGTCCTGGCTCCTGTGACCTCCTCTCTTCATCATCACCTATCATATTTATAGTCAAGCCAGCTCACTTCTCAGGCTTTTCCATTTGTTGTTCTTTTTACCTGGAATGCTTTCCCATCTGTTGTTTGCCTGGGTGGATCCTTTCAAATCCAGTGTCACATCCTTAAAGTGACCCTTTCTGACTAACCTCGCCATCTGAAACAGCCACCCCTCCATCTATACCCTCCTCTACTCTCTATTATACGACCTTACCCTACTCATATTTTCTTCAATGTGCTGGTCAGAATTTGGATGTCCTCTCCCCCTCCCAATTACAAAATCAGGTCTATGAGGGGTAGGGCTATTGTTTCTCTTATTCACAATTAAATTCCCAGAGCTCTCAACAGTCTCTGGCACACAGGAGATACTCAGTAAATACTTGTTAAGAGAAAGACTGGATGGATGGCTTATATGATAGTTGGAGCTATGTGTCAACTTGGCTGGACTACAGTTCTGCGTGGTTTAAGCAGTTGTGATGTGGTTATTCCCATGATGGGATCAGATGAATATGTTTTGAGCAGCCAATCTGCTGAAAGGAAGTTTCCCTAGGGGTGTGGCCTGCTTCCAGTATATTTATGGACATCCTGTGAAAAGAGACATTTTTCTGTGGATCAGGATTCTGTTGTGCTGCTTACAATTGTCCGTGAGCGAACAACCCACCATTTGGCCTGGAGATCTTGGATTTGTCATTTGTTGGAGTCAACAGCCAGTATACTGCCTGCCAATCTTGAGCTTCTCAGCCCCTGCAGCTGCAAGAGTCAAGAAAAGCCTCCAGCTTGACGTTTGATCCAAGAACTTTGGACTTACCAGCTTTGGACTCACCAGTGTGTGAGCCATTTTCCTAGGATAAAATTCTCTTTCTTGCTATATATAAGTTTTACTGGTTTTGTTTCTCTAGAGAACCCAGTCTAACACAGCTTAAATATCAGCTTTTAAGTGACATTAAAAAATCATATCTGGTAGCAGGACATTTCACTTTACTGAAAGCAAATCATGATAAATTCCTGACTTGCTTTGCTGAAAATATCATTTTTCCCAAAGTAGAGTAAAGCAATCACTTCTGTCTGAATTTTTCTCAACAAATACATATTTTATGATTTGAAAGAGACAAAAAACCATAAAATTTCCTATCTTTACCAAAAGCAGCCAGCAGGGAGAGTGCTCCAAAGAATCAATTACAAAGGAAATCATATTGAGAGGGTTGAAGTAAACTGAAGTGTTAACCATTTTAGTACTAGCTGTTATTATTCACCCAGCTTTCAAAAATTTCAGAGTATTTTCTTCAAAATGAGAAGCTGGTTAAGTTTAGCATTTTTCAGTAAGAATCTGAATTACAAAAACATGTTAAGAATTCAGGAACACAATCTTACAGAAAAGTAAGCTTTTAATTTATAAAAGGTGTATGTGTGTGTGTGTGTGTGTGTAAATTACTCTTCATTTCAGGAAACAGTATACCATCTCAATCATCAACTTTAATTTTTTTGAGGGGGGATATTCAGAAAAGGGAGGTTTTGAAACACAAAGTGAACTTCCAACTCTTATTTGATATATTAGTAAGCTCTAAACACTTTCAATAGAATCCATTACTGTACTCTTACATTAAAAAAGGAGCAA